GGTTCAGATGAATAGAAAATCGATACAAAAACGACAGATAACGGTAGCAACAAACAACATAGCACACACAAACTGAACTAATTAAAGCGATCAATTTGGAGTGTAAATGCTTAATTCTGGATGCGGGTACCGATTTAGTGTTCGGACTAAGAATATGGATCCGATTATGGTGGCCTCGATGAGAATACCCAATGACAATATGTTATATTATGCTCTCTGCGTTACGGAAAGAGCATTGGAACAGCATGAAAAGCACAACCCAAGTCACAATGACCGGTGAGTAGGGAGAAAAGATGAATTTGATGGAAGACGCAAAATAATAAAGAACCAATTAACAGCAGGGTGCACACAGTAAAATGTTGCACAACTTATGCACAATATAACGAAAGACAGTAGATATGTAGATCTCTTTCCGACCGTCAGTACTGCGTTGGTTTCGGGATCCTGACATGTGTCGGTGATTAGGACTAGACACAAGAGCGTGGGTGCAGATGAAATGGTGGATGTCAGGGGTATTAATGCTAGCTGTTGCTACCGCCTCAAGGGCAGACGCGTCAGTTTAAACAATTCCAAATATTCAGGGCTGTGATGACTTCATAACGCCCTGCTGTCTTTTAGGTAAGATCCTGGATCAAAAACCCGGGGTAGGGCCCGCTAAAAGAACCCCCTACTTCGGCCTGGACACCCGGGTAGTATCACGCCCACTGACGAACTGATGGACGGATTACACTACTGCTTTCCCTTTGACTAGGTCGACTAGCTTTACTCGCTCTACTGCTCAACATCCGCGTCCCGTTCCTTAACCACATGTATGCCTTCCCCAGTCACCGCCAACAACGGCTCACTGGATACATCTAACAGAATTCTGAGCCAAACTTTGGTGTTTGTTGCCCAGTGCTCACAACATTTACACACTCACTGAAGCCCAAGCCTTCCTTCGTCCCAGTTCTCCATTCGGCCTTGCAGAGTTCAATGTGTGCACTCTGATGCAACTCGGACGACAAGCATGTCTGCCCCTCCCCCCACGCTTGAGACACTCGGTGGTCTGTTGCCTTTAGGAAACCAGGTTGCAAGACGCCAGTACCGTTATCAGAATGACATCTCCGGCAAACCCTGATGTAAAATACCACTTGCGACTTTCCGGAGAAACAAAGGCCGCCGCTTCTGGCCAAGTTGGTGTTGGGGTTGAACTGAGTAACAGTGCTGAGGTCGCTTTGCTTGACTGGATCCCAGTTAACAGTCGGCTATGTGCAGTCAGATTACGAGGTTCACGTACGTTAGGTAAGTGTCGAGATGTTACGCGTGCCTTGTTTGTCATCTCCGTCTATGCACCTACAGACTGCAGTTCGGATGCAGTCAGAAATTGCTTTTACCAACATCTACATGACTTTCGGCTTCCTCGAAAAAGTATGACATTGTCATGTTTGCCGAAGATTTTCACGCACGAGTGGGCCGCCTGCCACCACGCAAGCACCATCTTGGGGGTAGTTTTGGCCTCGGTAGCAGACAATGGAGGCAGGCTACAGACTCTTTGTTTTGATCATTGCTTGTTTCTTTCGAGCACCAGTTTTCGGGATTCTAAAAGACAGACTGCTACATGGCGCCCGCCTTCACAAACACAAAAGTGGCCCCACCTTGACCGCAAAGCAATAAGCTACAGATGGCGCGGAAGCGTAACAGACTTCCGATCGTACTGGTCAACTTGTTTGCATGCGTTTCGGAGGACAATCCAGACGTACGAACCACCGAACGAACGTCGAAAATCTGCAAAATCCTGCGACGTTAGCCAAGTACCAGGCTTCTTTGTCAACACTACTTGCTTCATCCTCTGGCGTGGTCTCAATTCGCAATGGATGCGCATCAAAGACGCCTTAATTTCTGTCAGTGCTGTCAGTTGTGGATTTGCTTGTCACCCGCTGAAAAGCTGAATCACTACTGACTCCTTATCGCTGATGGACAGACGCCGCTTGAATCCAGTCGACACCAGCTGTAGCGATGAAGCCTGATCCCTGGCTCGAGCGTTGCGTAGGACCGTGAGACCTGGAGGTGTAAACATGCTAGAGAGCTTGAACTGGCTAATCTCTCGGGTAATACCAAAAACTGTTCCACCTCATCCGAGACACCGAAGGCTTCCGATCTGGAGTAAGAGAAACAATCTGCGAAGATTATGTCTCTCTAATCACTAACCTTCAACGACGGTTGGAGCGATGAGCCGAAGCTTTCCGCTCGCAGTTTTCCTGGCCGCCAGCTCCATCTGTTTCCCCTGGGGCGCGCAATGGTGATGAGTAGACTATCCCAACTAATCCTCTCTCTCTCACCAGAAAATTTGGCGGGAACTCTGCCGCCTAAAGCGTTATAAGGCACCGGGCCCTGATAGTCTAAATCCCGCACTGTTTAAAGATGGATGCTATACGGTAGTTCGTGAATTCACCACTTTGTCCTCAGAAGTCCGGGCAAAAGAGGAGGTTCCATCATCCTGGAGTGGATCGGTAGTCGTCCCCATCTTCATAAAGGGCCTGCGCACAGTGCTCCAATTACAGGGGCATAAGTTTGATTTCCGTCGTCTGCAAGATTCTGGTGTCCATCATTCTTCGCAGCCTATCCCCAACGCGTGAATTACTACAGCGAGAAGAACAGGCTGGGTTCCACCGTGGTCGCGAATGCTTCAGATTTCCACACTCCGCCAGATTCTCGAGCTCCGCCATGTGTATTAAAAGTCAACGATTGTTGTGTTTTTGGATATCCTCGCTGCCTTCGATTCTGTCGACAGGGTTGCATTGTGGCATTGTCTGTTGATGAATGGTATTCCCGGGAAGTTCGTTTCCATTATGCGTGCTCTGTACAGTCTGACGTCGGGTACAGTGGGGGGCTTATGGTAAGCTTTCGTCTTCCTTTGTTGTCGCCAGTAAAGTTCGACAAGGATGCTGCATCTCTCCACTCTCCCTTCAACTTTGTCATTAAGAATGTCCTAAAAAATGCTACAGAAAACTTGTTGAACGCTAGTGTTGAGCTCCTCCCAGGTAATCGAGTGGTTGATTTGGATTAAGTTGAGGATATCGTCTTGTTGGGTGACGGTACCTAGACTGTCCAGATTGTACTTAATCTCCTGGTGATTGAAGTGTCGAAGTATGGCATGTACTTTTCACTATCCAAGTGCAAAGCGCTTTTTCAACTGGCACATGCATCTACTTGCAGTCCTTATCGATGGTAAGACGCTGGAAGTGGTACAGAATTGTGTCTACCTGGGAAGCTGCCTCACGGCTGGTGAGGCTGTTGGAAATTAGATTTCGATGCGCATCTCAAGAATCGTCTCGCCTTCTCTAGGCTGAGGCATTTATGGCGGCACCGTGACATCCGTCTCTCCAACAAAGGGCGGGTTTATATTGCGCCGTCCGCGCTGTACTGTTGTATGGTTGCGAGACAGCCTGCTAGTACCGATGACCTCCGCCAACCGTCTGTCTTCGAGAACCGTTGCTTGCGGCCCATTGCGCGATTGTGGCGGCTGCACCACGTAACCAACGTTGAAGGCAGACACCGTGTCTTGGATAGAGACAGCCACTGCCTCGAGGCGCTTGTCGCGTTGCGCCAACTACCATGGCTTACATACGTACTGTGTATGCCTGTTCAGCGTCTCCCTTGCCTTGTTCGCGGTCGCTGGGCAGGGCTGGAGCAGCCGGTGTGGTGGACAGCTTAAAATTTAGATAAGCAGAATGAAGAATCTGACAAAACAGATGGCCTTAGTTGGTCCCTCACGACTCCCTGGATGGGGTCCCATGGATGCTGAGTGCAGTTGGTTGGAAAGGTTAGAAGTCATGGCTCAAAACCGAAGTCAATGGCAGCCGTGTATCTTTGCTTGTTACGGTGATCACCTTTCCTCCTTCAATATATATATATATATATATATATGTATATGTATATATATGATTGACGGCACCCGGTTTCGGATTTGCCTGTCATTGTGACCAGCCACAGGACGCTTGCGCCTACAAAGGGACAATGGGTGGCTTGCGTTGCACCACCCACAGCTCCAACCACACACCCCATATCCAGTGTAAACACGAAAGTATAAGACCAGGAGGCATGTGGATGGGAGCTACGTTTCATCAACGGAGCCGGCCCACACTCCTTCACAGACAAATACAAGCACACTGTATTTGGGAATCAAGCGCACACAAGGCGGAGGCTGAAACGTAGTCCACTCCACACTGAGTGCACGGTACCACTCTTCGAGCCTAGCACGACCACAAGGACCCTGCACCCCGTCCGCTCCAGCAACGACCAAGTGTCTGCTGGATCCAGATGGACGAGGTAGTGGGTAATAGACAGGTAGGCACCTTGCACATCAACAGGCAACATGCACATCAAGCGCAGCCACACATGGGAAGTCAAACAGCCAATCATTCAAAATGCCGATATCGAATAAAGAAAACGTATAAGACGACATAAATACCAGCTAAATGAGCATGTAGAAGAAGTTGGTTGTAAGTGAATCTGTGATAAGTACAAAATGTCGGAGATATATTAAAAAAACACGCGATGCAATTACGCAAGTTGATCACAATTTGCTTGAGCGACGTGTGCAAATTAGAAGATTATCAAGGATAAACATGAAAAAACCTAGTTTAAGTGTGAATTAGTTTAGCCCAACTGCGGTGAAGAAGCATCATGAATGTAACATCGGCCTCAGCATGGGGCACGATATATATATATATATATATATATATATATATATATATATATATATATATATATATATATATATATATATAAACTCAAACATCAGCGGCATCAGGGCCTCGTATATGCACCGTAAGGGATGCAAGCTTAGTTCAAAAAGACGCTTCAGCTTTCTAGGAGATCGCGACAGAAATGCGGAGCATCTCGCGCTGCCATGTTGCATGTGTAGTATGAATAAGAATTAATCCGTTGCAATGTTGTCACCGATAGCTGGCGGAAAATACGGAACCGGTTATCAAACCGCAGAGAAAACTGAAACTTACATCGAAAACGTCCAGCTCGTGTACTCGCAGAAGTGGACCACGGGCGCACAAAGTGTATGCGGCGACCACCGCGACGAGGAACCCGGGAGAGGAGCATAGGATAGTGTCCCATAGCTGAAGCCATTCCTCTTGAGTGAACGATTCACTCAGACAAGTTTGCAGCAAAGGCCAAGCATAGATCTGCGAATGGAAGAGATGGATGCAATAGAGTCCAATAAGCATGGGTAGAATAGAGAGGGAATAGTGTGCATTCACAGTAATAGAAGGTCCTGCTTAAACAGACGTGAATGACAGCGCAAACCCGGTGCTGTAGAGTACATCATACTAGAGGCTGAGGCCAGCTTAGCAGTAGTTAAACGGAGGCGGTTATCAGGTTACAACCTAAGCCGTCCATGTTGTGATTATTTTTAAATAAAAACAAAAGTTAACCGACACTTCTACGGCGAACCAAACCCTGCGTGAAAAGGTGGTTAGGTTGATCAGCAAACATATAATTGTCGGTTCGATGGAGCCCAATCCCATGTGGAGGCCACAGTGACGGGCAAATCCGGACACGGATTATATATATATATATATATATATATATATATATATATATATATTTGCAGTGTCCAAAATTGTCGCTCAATTTGGAGCACGAGCGTGGACTCTGACCACGCACTTGTCTGTGCCGACCTCCTGGTGCGTTTCGGTGGACGTCCGCAACGTCGAGGTGAACGGATTGACACCAGCCAGCTGGCGAAGCCAGATGTTCTGAATGTATACCATAGTGCGCTGACATCTGGGCTGGGTAAGCGCCCACTAAACACCGTTGAAGATCACTGGTCGCATATTCGTCAAACGTTACTGTCCGCAGGCATGTCTTCATGTGGCAAAGCAAATTGCCAAACCGGACATTGGGTCTCTACACAGTCTATGGAACTTATGGATGCTCGCCGACGTATTCCGGCTGGAAGCGAATACAATGAGGTTCGCAAAAAACTCAGGGCAAAACTAAGTGCTAGCCTTAGGAAGGACCGCGAAACCTGGTGGTCTCATCGTGCCTCTGAGATGGAAACAGCCGCTGCCGTGGGTAATCATCGTAAGTTATTCCGTCTGATACGGGAAACAGGCAGCAGGAGAGCTGGTGTTAGCGAGACCATACGCGACGAGAGTGGGCAGAAGATCCACAGCTTGTCAAAACGCTTGGAGAGTTGGGCCGAACACTTTGCAAGGCAATTTAACAAACCTGAGTTAACACTTTCTTCTTCGGGCATTGAGCGCCCTTCTCCTTGGGCCGTCTCCTCGGATCCGCCCTCACGCGCAGAGGTCGAACGTGAGATCCGGCTGTTGAAATTGCATAAGGCCGCAGGGGCAGATAGAATTCCCCCAGCCCTCTTCAAATTCGGGGGAACTGCTCTAGTGGATGATCTACACGAGTTGCTAGTAAGACTTTGGGGGCAGGAGACAGTCCCGCAGACTGGAACCGCTCCGTCATTGTCCCAATTGTCCCGTTTGGAGTGCGGCAATCATAGAGGGATCAGTCTGATTTCGATTGCCTCTAAATTGCTTGCCTCTCTCATTCTCCACAGACTGACTGGCACTCGTGAAAGCCAGATTCGTGAAGAGCAAGCCGGATTTCGTCGAGGTCGGGGCTGCATCGACCACATCTTCACATTGCGTCAAGTGTTGGAGCACCGCCATGTTTATTGGCGACCCACCGTTGTCGTGTTTCTTGACATAAAAGGTGCCTTCGATTCGGTCGATCGATGTGCCCTTTGGGACTGTCTGCTGAGGAAAGGTGTGCCTGATAAATATGTAAACATTATCAAAGCGCTGTACGCGCATAGTTCGGGCAGGGTGAGGGTTTATGGCAAACTCTCGCCACCCTTCAGTATCACCAGCGGCGTGAGACAAGGATGTCCGTTGTCACCTTTCCTCTTCAACTTCGCTATTGATGAAGTCATAGAAACAGCGTTCGCTGGACACGACGTAGATGGTGTGGAGCTACTTCCTGGTGAGCGACTTCTTGACTTGGAGTATGCGGACGATATTGTCCTAATCTGTGACAGCCTCCAAAGATGCCAAATAGCACTGGACCGATTAGCACTGGCTGTCAATCGTTTTGGGCTATGCTTTGCTCCATCGAAGTGCAAAGTACTTCTCCAAGATTGGCAGGGACCCAACCCTGCGCTAACGCTTAGTGGTGATCTGCTAGAAGTCGTTCAGGAATTCAAGTACCTGGGCAGCTATATTAGCACCCGTGGGATTGAAGATGAGGTTACGAACCGCATAGCAAAAGCTCGAGGTGCTTTTGCCAATCTCCGCCACCTGTTTCGCAGACGCGACATTACTCTCGCCCTCAAAGGCAGAGTTTACAACGCAGCCGTCCGTTCTACTCTCTTATATGGTTGTGAAACCTGGCCCATCATGTCGACTGACATGAAGAGACTCGTCACATTCGATCACCGCTGCCTTCGCAGCTTAGCTCATGTCTGGTGGGAACACCGCGTGAGCAATGAGCGTGTTCGACGTCGCGTGTTTGGTGCAGGAAGAGCGAGTGAACCGCTCTGCACCATTATATCACGCACCAGGCTCCGATGGCTGGGCCACGTGTTGCGCATGCCAGCACACCGACTCCCGCGACGTGCATTGTTTGCGCGTTGTGGGTGCGGTTGGAAGAAGAGGAGGGGAGGCCAAGTGATGACTTGGTCGAGAGAAATGAAAACCCTGACTTCGAAGTTGGCGTCGGTTGGTGCATCCCGACTGCCTGGCTGGGGTCCTAAGGACGGTGAACACGTTTGGTTGGACACAATTGCTGATATGGCTAGGAGCCGGCACCAATGGCGTTTGTGTTGTGATTTCCTTTGCCCATCCCCCTCCTGTTAAGTATCCCCCTCCAATCAGGATCTCACCTGTTAGGCATAATATGATTCTCTTTTAGCGGCAGCCAGCTGTTAGCTCTTCGGAACGATGTCCATCCGTTACTGGGGACTCAGCGGGCGTGCCACTGTTTTTTTTCTTTTCTTACCTTTTGTATTGCGGCACAATAGCTGAGGTGTTTTCCACCTCCGGCTAACGTGTAATGATGATGATGGCTGACCTCACCGCGATCGTCTTAAGCCCAATCTTGTCAGGGCATACGGTGCGGTGCAACAAATGCTAGGATGACATGCTCAGGAGGTGTCCGAACCATCTCAACTGACGCAGCAAAACCAGTTTCTGAAAGTGGATACTCGCATTCCCCAGAATGCCAGTTCTAGCTTCATCCTTGTGAACGTTGCTCACGCAGGACACAGGTGATTCTTCCCAAAAACGAAGTGTCTAAGGCCGAAAACCGGTACATGACATTCATACGAATTGGTCAGCGCTCAATACGTATAAGAACGCAGCTAGAACAGAATCAATGAAAATCCGGCCATTTATCGACGATGACAAACACAAACAGGGTTGTGGCGGGAGAAAATCTCCCCTTAAACCGTGCCACTAGCGCATATGCAACTCCAGTTAGACTAAGGTATCTACCTGTTCAAGCTGCGTGTCTGTATATTAGCATAGGATAAGGTGCGTGACTATAATGAAGCGTCACCTTACATTTGAATGGATGTATAGACAAACATTCAGAAATGAACGAAGAGGAGCGTTTAACTAGTGGACAGAAAAACTACCAAGTAACGGTCTATGCTACAAAGCCATTGGGTTCCCGACTGTACCGAGATGAAGTGAGTGTTCGACAGCTCATGTAGCCGATCCGTTGGATTCAATGCAAGAAGACGATATGCAACATCCCCATCAATGTTTGCAACTAAAGTGTGAATGAAATTTAACCCTTCCGTATCGGCCGACAATGTGTACTCAAAAACAGTGAGCACCCACGCAAGGAACACTAGTCCCGGATTTGGTAGATGGTTAGATGGAAGATGTTCGGTGAAAAGAAATGACAAGATCAAAAATGCTGCTCAAAATAGTGATGTGGATATCAACTCTTGCAAGAGGGTGGCATGAAAGCGAACAGTTTCTAGCCCATAAAACGTTCGCCAACGGGATAAGAAACTGTCATGAAATCGGAAGCATGCACAACGGCACGCAGTAAATGGTTGGTTATCTATCCCACCAGAATGGGGACGCGTTAGCACAAAAGTCAGGTGCAAAACCACGGTGTGTGCAAAGAAAACTTGGGACAGGGTAAATGTGTCTACGATGGGACTGTCGCACTGTGTATGCAGGGGTATTAGATGCAACATACGGAGGAGGCGATTTTTCGTGACTGGAAAGAAGAAGCAAGTGGTAACATACATCCGAACGAAAAAGCCCGAAAACTTAGTTTGTAAGTTAACGTCGCCATTTCTTATAACTCAAGAATATGCAACAGTGATGGGTAAGTGTCCAATAACATATGAGATCGCAGATGGCTATAAGCCTACCCTGACAGCGCAAGCGCTTGGCCATCTAAGATCTCATATGCCACTGTGTTTATATATCAGTGCTGCTTGTTTGTGATTGATAAGAAAACATGAAATTGCGACGTCATCATACAAACTACGTCTTTTGGTTTTCCAGTGTGGAATAATGAGTGGAATTTCTTGTTTCAAGGTGTAGATAAATGACATTTAATAGGGATAGTGCAAAAGCAGTTCCAAACAAAGTGTAAGCTGCACGCAAAACACGGACGCTGAGTGTTAACTGAAGCTTGAAAAAAGTTGTAAACAGAAAAGTATGGTATGGAGTCCGCATCAGCAGTACATCATAGTATTCGTATAGCAGCTACGCTGTCATCAGTCATTGACGATTGTGGGTGGGCTGGGTGCCTAAATATATGCAGTAGCGGGAACCCCAATCCCGGGAGTAAAGGTTGTAAGGCAAACGTCTGAACTACTACACCGGAGATACGTAATGGAAAAAGCGTAAAAGAAGGCACCAGCATTACGCCAATGCGCCGCAATGACGGTTTGTTGTCAAGCAACCATTGCGAGGTCGCCCGCACCCAAGCAGATTCGAACCGATGACATTTGGGTTACAAGACAGAAGCATCATCTCATGGGCCGACTGCCAGAGATAAAAGCAGGGAACCGAACCGATTTCAGAGGAAATACACAGTGAGTGCTTGCGTGCTCAAAAGATAGCACTAAAGATTTATGCGGCAGGAGCAAGGAATGTGCATATCTGTGCACAGAGCAGGCTGGGAACTAGTTGCGTGACAGGTATGAAATGTTAAGAGGCACTTGCAACGGCTACTGAGAGAAGGGGGTAACATCAAACCTCGACTAAGAGATTCGGTGCATGAAGTGATTGGACTAGACAGCGTAGAGAAGTCGATAGAAACGATTCTTTTACAACGTTTGCAGTAGACTTCGAACAAAACATAAAATTGTTTACCTGGAAAGGGTGCAGTGCGAATCAAATTGAGTGTAGCAGAAAACGATCCATTTTGCCAGAAAAACAATATGCGGTAAATTGACTAAATGACCCAGTGTTAAACAATTACGACAACCATTGGTTATTGCCACTGTAGTCCCTATGCGTAGCAGAGTGTCAGCCATATGTTGATCGAATTCTGTCTCTGATTCGGGTTAGATTACAGGGTAAGTAAACAGGGTATGCTACAGGACGATCGTTGCGCTGTGCAACTTGGCAAGAGCATAGCAGAAACATATATAGACTGAATCTCATTTTACAGACAACTAGTAGTACCGATAAGCTGCAGTGCAGACAGCACCCAGTGAGCCGGATGGACAGAAAGTAGCGCTCTCCCACACAGGAAGTAAGATACGGCCTGTAACCAACGTATGGGTGACTAGTTTGGTCGAAGAAATAAATAAAAAAGCTGGTCAGTCGAATCAGGATACAAAGTGGAGAAGTCTACAAGCATAATAGATGTAATACTGTAAAGTGAAGTTAGATCAAGTAAAGATGCATTCGATTTTGTAAGATCAAAAGATGTGGGTGCTCGCCAAATGCGTCAACCAGTTACCTGAAATTTCTCATAAATGCTCGAGGTGACCTGCGGAAATATATAAGTACAAGCATCATAAAATCAGCCGGGCAAAATCGAAAGAAGAGTGAAGTACTCAGAGTTGGCGATCCGACCACGGTGAAGAAGGATGAACAAGTGTTCGCAATGCAATGTACCTGAGCTGTAGATGAGCGCTCATAAAGCCAGACAGAATACCCTATAGAATAAGGGGTGAAAACACCTGACTAATGCCCTTCAACAAAACAACCAGCTAAGGAAACTTGCCACACTGCCTCGCGATGCGGGGGACGACAGACCCGTAAAGCCCCGAGTCTTGATACTTGGCAATGATAAGTGCGTCGGTAGTCATCAGCTCAGTGCAGCTCAATTCTATCACCATGGTAATAACGCCGAAACGTGGATGATTCAGCAGAAGAATAGTTAACAATCGTGGGAGGAAATAAAAGAACAGTGTAAAAAGGATAAGGAAATCTTGAAGGAAAAGAAAAGCCAAAATCAGCTGAATGGATAGCAGTGTGTACATTGAAAGGCACTGAATGCAAGAGATGCGACTGCACTGCATCGAATAAGGTCTCGAGCAGTAGTTGCAGCAGATCCCGAGACAATAGTGCAGGAAGACGTTATGAACCGGTATGATTAAGTTGCGCAAGAAATTTATCTAAGCGTTTCGACAAAACATCGGTTAGTTTCTGGTGTAAAAATGGTACCAGCCATGTTAGCGGAAGTTTCTGGAGCTGCTGAGTATTTGGATGATATCGTAGTGACGAGTCGAACACTGGAAAAGCTATTCACATGGCTGGATAGAGCGCTTGGTTGTATCCAACCAAACGGTTCACGGATCTGTGAAGACAAATGCACATTTTTCATGTCCACCATCGATACCTCGGTTTTATCCGTGAAATGGATGGACGTAGACCAGATCCGGCAAAGGTAGAAGCTATAAAAAATATGCCCCCGCCAAGAGACCTACAGTCCTTGCGTTCCCTTTGTGATCTCAATAGTCACTACAGTGCATTCTTATCTGAGACGCACCGCTTGCGCGTCACACTAAACAAGTTGCTAACCAAAAACCAAAATTGAAACTGGACGTCGAGATGTCAGAATGCCTTCGGACAGGTCAAGTCATTGCTGGCCTCAAACCTGCTTTTGACTCATTTCGATCCCTCCAGAGAGACTGTTCTCGACATAGACGATTCAAGCCATGAGATCGGTGCAGCGATCTCACATACATACTCGGATGGGTCTCGGAAAAAAATCGCTCATACTACAGGTCGAGAGGAATTAGTCAGATCGAGAAGGAAGCTTTGACCATAGTGTTTGCTGTGAAGAAATTTCACATGATGCTGTAGGGCCGCCGAATTCATCCATCTAAGTGAAACAATGAAAGCAGTGTTTGTTGAAGGCAGTAGACCAAAGTGCGTGTCACGTGTTCCATGAAACATCGAACGCACCACCAGAACACTGGTTTTTAAACATCAAGTGGAGAACATCAGCACTGCCCCCCCCCTGGATATGGACCGTATTAGCTTGGCATACTACACACAAAGTTGTTAATGACATCAGAACACGCGTCCGAGTCAAGGTACCACCTAAAAGTACACCATTACGACGGTTTCGCAAGGGTGAAAATGAAAAGTGTTTGAGACCGAGCGAGGCCTCTACTCTGAAAACCATTGCTCCACCACTGGGAAGATCAGAAGGCTTGCATGTCACAGTGAAATTGGGAATGGACCGTGCTCTCAGTTCGCCAGTTAGGTGGCAGTTTTCATAAACCTAACCAATTTACCCGCTCCACAGGAAATAGTATAGGTCGTCCAGCGTAAAATCCGCTCTGTACCAAGAATCAAATATGTGACCTTCCTGCACTATAATGAGCCTACGCTCAGTTTCATTATAAACAGCAGATCACTAGTGGTTCAAGCAATAGCTGTCTTACCGAACAAGCATAGTCTATGAGATGACCACACTGAGTTAGACGGGAGCTCTCCGGGAGAAGAAACGTACACCGTTTCATCGTCACGCATTCACGAGTTACCAGATGAAGCAGCTACACTAAGGCTTACAGTGCCCCGCATCATCATTAAATTCACCCAGTATCCAACTGAAGATCACACATTTCAAGCATGCTAGAGCGGATACGAATGAATACGAAGACGCCGCTGAACACTATCTTTAGGCTATCAACACATGGGAACACATGATTCCAGAGCGTTTCAAGTAAACAAATGCATAGTCAATACGTGTGAAAAGATTGAGACTTTCGTCGCAGAAGAGCGCGTTTTGCAGTGAAAAGTAGATTGAAAAAGTTGAGAATGAAGAAGGACTGCGGGAATCGAAGTTGGGGCGATAACTGGCGACACTGTCTATCTGGAGTGCTCAGGGCTAATTCAATAGTCTATACATTGTGCGATCGTATGGGAAAGCGGATTATTACGTAAGATGTGAAATGACTGTCAAATTTGCTATCGCACGCCCAATCTGTTGTATCCTGTGTGTTAAGAAAGAACAGACATCCTTACAAACTGCTTTAATGATTAGAAATTCCAGAACACAAAACGCCGTGTCAGAGAAACGCGTAGTTCCACGACGGAGTAATGTGTTAAAAACATAGACAATGTTATACCAATGTAACGGTCCAAAGATGTCAGTCGGTTTTGCAGAATAAGAACCAGAAACAAATTTCACTTACAACAGAATATACGAGTGTTATAATGGCAAATATATGTGATTCGGACATTGCAACTAGCATTTTTGAGTAGAATACACGTTCCAAGCAGCATGCTGTGCACGGCTACGATGTTCCGTTATAAACAATTTCGAGTTGTGATTCTTGTTTTATCGATAAACTGCGCTTAAGGTTAGGCTGGTCATAGGCATCACAAAGATTCCATACTCGTTGTTTGAAGCCGAGAAGGAAGCAAGCTTTGGACCAAGTGAAGATCCCTGAGATTAGAAAACACACAGAAAGTCAGTGTATCTAACCTTATAGTGGCGCCATCCTCACGAGCCTCTGTCGCATCTTAAGGCGGTATATAGTAAGTATCCAAAAGTGTGCCGAAGACCAAGAGCAGTAAACACGCGCGTGTTTAAACTCACCTCAGTGGTGACCTGGCACTTGACAAGGTGATGATACAATTCCTGGTCGTTGTAGGCCACCAAATTTTCAATCATGCATAACACGTTTATTGGTGGACTGGGGAAGTATTCGAACCAGGCGGAACACCAATTGACTGTCCAGATAAATGTCGGAGCGTAAGGAAGATATAAAACAGAAGGTAAGTATTGGGTATATCGTTGCCTCCCTTGACTGTCGGAGCAATAAAAACACTTAATGAACTATGTTAGGTATAAGGAACGGAGTTGGCACTCTGAAAAATACAGGAAACGCGTCAATAGTACACAGGTGTGCAGCACCGAAGAGTCGTAGTCATACAACTGCCAACATCAGTCGCGCACGGGTTAGGGACGCTGCGAAGTCGAACCGGCGACCTTCGGGTTACATTAAGCTACAAAAGCGAGTAGCATCATAGTGTGACAGAAGCCATGGTGTCGACGGTTTACGGGGCCGGTTCCAGATAGAGCCAGAGGATGTATACTGGAGGTGAGTCCCAAGGGGACGAAACGGATGTCTGGTGCCTTTCCTGGCGTGTTTAGCAATGCTTAACTTGAAAGTCACAGCGATGAGTTATCAAGTAACATTACATTCAAATTCCCCTAATCATAAGTATAGTAAAACATTCGGCATAGCAGTTCCTGAATGACATATCCTACATAGTTGGTGCAACATGTGTTACTTGAATGGCAGATGAGGATGATGCACGTTATATCACAGTTAGCTTGTAATTCATAGTCTTCTGCCACCACTTGTAACCTAGTGACACAAGTCGATGGTGTCAAGAGCTCGTGGGCTCAGTACTTGAGGAATTGTGCGGATGCGCACTGCTGATGAGTTCAAGTAGGACAAAAAGGCAAATTAACACTTTGCGACTGTGGCCTACTAAACAGGGTGCCTAACTTCGAATCAGGAGACTGCAGATTCGAGTCCTGACAGTTGTCCACAAAACAATATCTTAATGAACGAAGCATGGGAAAACAAACTGTCTATAAACCTCCAACAACAAAAGATCTCATGGGAACGTGACCATATGAAGTGACCTGGTCATAACTACCTGCAATGATATATGGTTGCTAGTGTAAGCCCAGGGTTATATGACGAACTAGAACCATATTTCAAGCGATAAAAATAGAAAGCAACCGATTCAATATCTCGGAATATACTTTGTACCGACTGTGAATTCCTGATTTCGAAAAACACCGGCACTGACGTGGCCGGGAAAACCTGGCGTCGAAGTGTACACCATACTACCAGAAATTAGAAAGCTGACAATGTTGGGTTGAGCTAAGAATTACTTGGCAGAGGATGACAACGGAATTCAGTTCGCTTAACGCAGTTCAATCTGAGGGTGGGACCAGATGAGTCGATGTGGCATTATCCAGAGTATTTTCAACAAAAACTATCTTGAAACCATGTTTGATCAGGTTGAATGGGCCAAATTGCACTGCAAATCATCCGGACGATTTTAGCACCTAACTTACCATTGTTGTCGCGTTTTCCAGTCAGATATGACGCAGTAACTACACTGGTGAGATGAAATGCTAATACAGCATATTCGCGGAGCAAAGATATGCGGCTGAGGAATACAGCGGAAAGAAGAGACAGAAGAACACAGATATAAAGCAACATGGGAGAACAAAGTGACAGTGTCGAATAGAACAAGTGTGGTATAATCATCCGTCGCCTACTAAACAAGCAATCACCGAGATAGGGTGACGTTAGTAAAGGCTGGAAGTACACCATCCTGAACATGTTCCCATATGCTCGTATTAACGGTAAAAGTAGAGCACATGTGATCCGAATGGGGGAGTACTTGTGGTAAAGTATCCCCCATGTTCCGCGCAACTTTTGTGCTTAGTAAATTGGCAATCGATTACCGCCAACTGCATAGCAAGTGCTTATGAACCACACGTAAAGTGAACCCCAACAACGAGGGTATGAGATGTCATCGGAATGCCAAGTCGGCAAATAAACCAAGATACTGGAGCGAACTAGTTGCTGGCAGATCTGTTTCTGGATAACGGAGCTACCAACGTTGGCAGCACTTGTGGTCAGACGCACCTTCAATGGTTATACCCACAACCGGTGTAGTTGTAGTTAATATAAGACGAAGGCCGGTGGATGATGGGCAAGATAGCTGCCGAACAACTAGCGTCACATATCACGAATCTGTTTGGTATATACTCCAGAATTTGGGAAGCATAGGAAACATGACGTTAGCTGCAGTTTACGACACACGGTGTCCAAAGCATGGATGCAAGCTCATCCAGCCCATCTTTGGTGAAATTTGTTGACCGAGGAAACTGTCAACTGACCGCATATAAGAACTGAAGTTTGTGAAGGATGTAATCCTGTCTGGGTCTTGGTGATGCGTACCATACGTTCAGATACCTGATCCATGTCACAAAATGAAAGGCAATTAGGCAGGATTCAGCCGCTTCAGCTCCGCTTCTCAGGGAAAGCAACAGATCGCGAGAACTAGCGGTCGCAGTCAGGTGCGCCGTTAGTAGAAGCAATTCTGGCCGAAGTACTATATGAAATTCAGCCTGACTTGGTAACAATCGCCAATAGAGAAAACGAGATGTTTGCTTATGGGGCAAGTTCCTTCCGATGATGATGGACGTATCATAGATGCCGCAAGTGAGTTTGAAAACGACAAGAGTGATATCAACTTTATGCACCATTCTTTAGAGCCGTACGGAATACATACTGAGCTGTTCTAGTTTTGGCCAGTCAACGGGCAGTGGTAGACTCACTGGCCGCCTGCACCGGCTACGTTCCATGTTTCACATGCCCGCTCGCCATCCGCCTAGGTATGTGCCGTATGTTGCGGATACTGCGCGCTTGTTTATGCGAAGAGTTTACGTGTCGATCAATATGTTGGAGAGTAAGGCACAAATGCTCTCCAGAATAGGGACAAGAAGTCAGTCACTTCAGTGACTGGCAGACGGAAAGTCAGTAATACCGTCTATTCGCTCACTGAGTAACAAGTGTTATTCCGATGTTTTCACCGGTACCCAATACTTTCATTCGGGTTTTTTCGTTTCTAGGCTTGTCTCACTGTTCTTATTCATAGCATGGCTGACAGAGTAGTAAACAAACAAACATGCATTCGGTAACAGAACACTATCGAGTAAACAGAAGGAACTACACATGATAGTTAAGGAGTGTTCCACATACAGCTTTCAACAACCAGCCGATTTGGAGAAATAAGCAGTAGCTTGTCACTCACTCAGGATTGTAGCGACCACTTCGAATGCTTGCAGAAGATGACTTTGGAATAGCTTGATAAAAGGAAAGGCGAACATTGGTAACCAATCCGTTTCCCCAAATAAAGGGCACCAGAATGCCAAGGCTGAACACACCCTTGAAAAGGAAGATGCGGGGAAAATATGCTGTTTTGTGTGGAGAAATAAGAATCGTGAGTACGCAGCGCAAAGAATACATTCTCATACCTTTGGAGGGCATGCAGCAACTTGCGCTCCCGGATTGGATAGCGAACAGGGAGGTTCTCGTAGGCTGAATGCGTTCCTTTCTTCACCAAAGCGTGGAAAGCTTGAGCATTTGACGGTAATTTCAGAATCGCCCTCCAAATGAATAATCTGATTGGAAAGCAGATAATGCCACAGGTGGTTCAGTAAAGCACATAATGACCTCCGGAAGATAGGAATATTACTGGCACAAATCACAAACGCTCCCGTGCTTATAAGAGGCTCTGGGGCATAGACGGACACATAATAATTTTAACTGGTTGCTTCGTGGATAACACAGCTTAACCTCGTCCTACAGGCGTGGAGTTTTTGGTGGTGATTGGAAGCACAATAGCGCACATAAAGTCACGCGGTGGACTAAGCGCAGCGTCTCTACACTATTGAGCGCGAATCGAAGTAGGACCCCAAAGGATGTCAGGTTAAGTAGCCCGTGTTCTAGTAGCAAGGCGCCACCACTACCGTCACTGAAATCATCGGTACGAAAGACCGCTGGGACACGAACATGGCGTATAGTTCAGTGCCTCGGCTACTAGACTGGTTTGCTTTGTAGTTCATGTTTGTGACATTCAACAGAAAAATATTCTGCCAACCGGTACACTAGGGGGCCGGATGAGTTTAGATGACAGTCGTCTACTTAAACCTAAATCAACATCCCAGATGAGATTGCTAGAAGAACTCTCTGACATTTCGAGTAGTTCATTAAGCAGGAGACTGGTACACCTCAAATAATGTGCGGAGCAGGATAGAAAATCAACTTGTAGCTGTGAATCAGATGTATCTCCCTATGATCACGATCGAAGCCCCAGTTCACTAAATGTCACATTAATCACACAGCAGTCTACTCAAATCGATGAAGCAGCTGCGTCCACATCTAGTTGTTATTAGGTCGATGCACATACCAACTGCTTTCCAACCACAGTTCAATTGAGAACTTTCGATCGGTTCCAGATACATTCCTGAGAGATGTAAAAAAAATGTCGTGAGGGTGAAGTGCGCGCCGGTGGATAGCTTATACAGGTGATCGTTTGCGCTGTGTCCAGTATGTGAAACTGGTGAACAAAAAAGGCCCCATGCAGATACCAATCTGTACAGGATTGGAGGTGGGGGTGTCCCACATGAATGCTCAGGTGCATAGAGCATAAAAACCAAAGCCAATGTAATGCAGCGTGACACGATGATTCACATCAACTCGAGCATTTAGATGGTTACAGTGAACAGGAATGAGATAAGTGGTATCATTCTGTGGCTCGATGGTCAAGAGGATGACATCAGCAGTACGCCAGTACCACATGCCGACGGTTCATTGCCACGCGACCACCACGAGTCGTGTGTGCGATGGGTGGACGGCGAGCTCTCCCGCACACACGCAGATTCGAAAAGGCAACCTCAGAGTTACAACCCAAGCTCACAATCCTCGCGGCCACTGGCCGACCAAGATTAATGGGAAACAAAACAAACCTTTGGAAAGTAAAGGAAAGGGTTTGCTCAAATTTAAAGGAAGATCCATCACAACCACATCCATTTAGGTAGCCACTGCACATGCGAAGGGATAAGACGGTTGCCCGGCATTAGTCTAGATGTGCAATGGTCATCTGATTGCGTGTGGTTGTAACAAACCTACTTTTAAAATTCAACCGAAAGACATACTTTTATTACTCCAGTAACTGTCCAAATTACCTAGCGATACCAGCTCAGCAAGGGAAAAACGCGGCCAAATTCGTCACGGTGGAAACGCGCATGGGAGTGGAGGATGAGGAAACGCGCTATATCACAGAGAGGTGCTTACATATGGCGGATACCGGTTAGCCCCTGTAGCCCAATGGTCGTAAGCACGAAATGGTAAGAATAGAACCGCGGATTCTAGCCCAGTAGGGACGTAATGAGTGTTGCTGGCGATTACCGGAAGAATGAGATGGCCGTTTAGTGGTTTACTCACTGAGGGTAGCTGTGAAGAAAGCGCTATGTGAATCAGTTAGATACAGACAGGCAAGGGTAAATTTGGTCTTCGAGTGGTGCTGCGGAAATTCAAAGAACTAGGAAATACAGCACGTAGCCATCAAGACTCCGATGTTTTTTCAGTTTTCCGAGTAAGGACATCTAAACTTTCCTGGACAAATGGTGGAGGTCATGGCTTGGTGAGTGAGATCGGTCTGCCGGTCCCGAAGACTATAAGGATGGCTCGCAGTCCGGACACGAAAAGTCCACAAGTCTGCATTTAAAAGAAACGTACCCAAGATGATACTGCAAAGTCATTAAGAGACACTATTGTAAAACTACAGACTATGTAACCAGATCAACAATATTGAGGTTCACAGCACATCATTCGCGTCGTATAACAAGGTTGCGTCTTGTACATCAAAACGCCATCAGACGATTGCGCGCATGGGAAGGAACCAACAACTGCACATCGCTACATAAGATCATTCACTGACATGAAAGGGTGGGATTAAAGAGTCAACAAAAGCCGTGCAATTCGTCTCGTGGGTATGAAGGACAATCCTAGCCAGTTGTCGCAATTGATCGACGGCTTTCAGTGAAGCACTTGGTACAAACGCCTACTGAGTTGTCCACTGGGAAATTATGATAGTAAAGTGATGAAACGTTATTCTACCTAAACACGATGGTCGGATTGCGGATGGGATTCGTCACAGGCGGAATTCGTACAAATGACACGAAGTAAGGTTGGTCCACTAGGAATTCCATGCTGAAGCCCAAGAGACTCACTTTGTGCTTGGCGCCAGACAATAGGTGACATGATTTGCGAATATAACAGGTGGCGCGTTTGTATTCGTCCCTAATCGGACCGATGGTTTGGGTAGAAAAATCCATAGGGAAGCTGCCAGGTTGGTGCTACCGTATCGTTACACTGTGCCGTGTTGGCAAAATGAGGATGTCTTGAGAATAGGTCTGTTTAAGGAATTCAGTATCATTCCACACTAGTAAAGTCCTTATAACTGGACAGCAACGAAGTTTCAGTACAACGTATCGATGTACCAACGCTGCTTTTACTGTCGCCGTTGTTGTTGATGATGTTATTGATTTCGTTCTTGAAAAGCCGATCCGGTTTGTTGGAAGTCACCAGCAATGAAGGCATTGTTTCAGGTCTGGCAAGGCCTCAGTGCCCGATCATACTCGCTTGAAGAAACTTTACTGTGGAAAGTGGGACAGTGAAAACTGCTGTGGCCGGGTAACCGGTTGTGTTAAACAGCGTTACGTCCGCCATTGTTAGTCCTTTACTCAAAGATGGGAAGATGGCGAGGATTCAGAGAAGGTTTCATTCACTAAGTATTGCTCACCCGACAATCATGTAGACCATATTGGGTAATCACGGCTATTAACTACCCAGGTGGTGACAAACACTGCTTCGCAAAAGTAGGATCAAAAACTTAAACCAAACGAAACACAAGGAATGCACACCGCTAACGAATCCTAACAGTGTGGAACAACACATTTCTGGATTCGTGTAAGTTGTTCAACTGAGTCTACAGCAATAACGAAGCTCAGAAGGCAATGCCAATGCGTTTGTTTGTTTTCATGTTAGTCCAAAGGTGAGAGTGAGCGAAATGAACCAATCTTGTTCGACACATATCTTGGGGTGTCGCGCAAACTGTGTTTGAATGCTGACAAGGACAGCGCAAGGGTTTTTACGAAGGTGCAACTGACAATTCTGTATGACGAAAAGTATAAGAATTTAGCAGACCTCTTATGGACAAGGTCGGACAATGTAGTGAACGTGCTAATTGTGCACTATCCGGAGCTCAGTTAGTGGAGTGTCTAAAGTTAAGGAGGTGGAAAGTTAAGTTCTCGCTCTTGGGCCGCAGTAACGAAGAAGTCGTTGGAGCAGCTATACAAAATCGCAATAAGGATGTTGAATTAGAGGTTCGGTCAGGTTCAGTGAATTTAGATATATAATTAGAATCGCGTAGATAAAAGAAGAACGTCTCCGTAGACAACAAATGCGTCAAGTAATGAGGCTAAAAACCACTGAAAAACTGACCTGTATTTGTCGGGAAAGCGACCAAATTCCTTGAGCAACATCCTAAGTCGTCCACGATGTAACAGACCATCGGTCTGAAATGATTGAAATATGAAGCAAAACGCAAAGGAAAGATTATTTGTTGACAACGTCGTGAAAGCATACTCATGGAAATGAGACAAAAGCGGTCTCACTACCTCAGAAAATAAGAATAAGAATTCGCATTTTTTCTGAAGTTTGGTAAGATACATTCACGCGCTGTACTGGAGGTTTAAACTTGAACCTCTCAAGCCGATCGTTTCATATACTTTGTGTTCCTAGTAGCCTAGGCGTGTCCAGTGTGCCAAGAATGAATATAGTGGGAAACGCAGCAACATCCAGGTGATCACATGGAGCAGAAGCGTTACCAAGTGCACGAAATGACGGCGTCCTGCCCGTGTCGGCCGTCTTGCCCAAGATAGCAAATAGATGAGGGAATCGACATTGATTCCAAATTGTGTATCAAGGTTATCCATTAGGTGTAATTGTGGCTAGCAGTAATTTGGGATATTGTGGAGGTCACACACCCACAGTTTGAAAGCCTTACGGTTCACATCAAGTCCCACTCCTCACTCCAGCTACCAACCTCATTTAGCATGTTATTAGGCTTTTGATGACTGTGTCCGGCCGACTAGGGAGTAGTTTGTCTCCCAGCTCCGCCGGTTTATTCCGACCTCACTAAAAGCGGAGGAACTCGGAATCCTCGACCAGAAGCAGATTAAATTTAGTTTGGTGAGGCCAGTGTGCGCTGACGCCAGGTTTTCCTAGCAGCCGGATATACAATTTCTATTTACCAAACGGTATCTGACGGACGGTAACTGTAAATCTTATGCCCCACGCATACCTGATCGTTCTGTAACTGTGAACGTTTGTCAAAAACTACACTGTCTCTGCACTCGAACATTTTATCTAACGGTCCACTACATTAACCAGGGACACTGTTTTTTTCAAACGCATTCTGCTTCACCATGCCTGACGAACCTGTTTGTGGTCAGTTTTCGGGAAAATCCTTTGCATATTCTTGGTCTTTCTTCGAGGTCTCTAAACCACGAAGTTGATTCATTCAAGTGGAATCCATCCTATGATTTTTTCAAAATTACAATACACAAGGTTTTCATATGGTATTGCTTATCCGACCACTCACTTGGCTTCAATGGTCATCGAAATCCTCGATCCCACGCCTAAGAATGCACCCTATGACAACCTTAAAGCAGCCATGTTTCAGCGCACTACCACACCTAACAAAGTGCGCATACAGGTGCTACTCTCGGAAATGAAGATTGGAAATTGTACACCGTCTCAACTCCTTCGACACATGCGGTAATTTTTCGATTGCTGAGCTCTCGATGATTACGTTCTTCGTCAGCGAACAAGACGGCGATCTCAACAGCTGAAGCCGGTGACCCCACTGACTGAGCTGGCAGAGGTTGAGGTCAAGATGCTCGAGAGATTTTTAAGCATTCTATGAATTACGTGGCTGACGCATAAAATGCAAACAACTCGGCGCTACATTGGCCTCTATAAGTGAGAGAATCCCACATGTGAACCTGAGAAGTTCCCACCATATGAGCTATAATCAAAGGATGTGTCTTACTTGCGGACTTGATCATTTTTCCTAACTGTACACTACAGACGGAGCGAATGCATTAAATAGTGGATAAGAGATGATAGTTAATGTGCCTCCTCATGGATTCCATAAGCAAGAAGAAACAGTCGTAATGCAGTGAACTGAGCAACTATTTATTGGTGAAGAGAAAACGTGTCAATGGATATACCGCAAAATTACCAATGGTAACTTAAGTGGAATTTTGCAAGGATCAATCAGTTAAATGATAAATTATACTAGTCTCTAATAACGGACAGACATGTTCGAATACCTATACATGTATAGGGAAAAGGCTTTTAATTGCAAAGTACTGAATTATATACATATGAACCATTTCTGATTGGATTAACACGTAAGTTTATATGCAATAAATATGCATGAGAATAAATTTAATAGTCGAAAGTAAAATATTAATATATAAAATATAACTATATATATATAGTAGCTGGCTAGCCGAACAACCTCCTCGTGGTGCCAGCTGGGTGGTACCGGATTTAAACCGTTCCAGCAAATAGTTCGGCGGCAGTGTTCCAGGACGTGGTGGGTTTTCGCCCCGCAAGCGTTCTCCCTATATAAAGCCACAAATGTCTGCTTATCAACACTGTGACGTGGCGGATGTGACTCGCCACAAAATAAAGTCACTGGCCCGTGGACATCCGGAAAATGGTATCCAACCCACGGAAGTCAATCGCTTATTCTCACATTCCTACCGATAACAAACAGTCAAAAATTCTGCGGCACATTCAAAAATACAAGCTACATTCATAGACAATTGCATACATATATACACCCATACACTTACATTCACTGTTATGCCAAGCATGTACTCTTTGTACATTTTGATCACACTATGTTAGCTAAACATGATCATGCCCGTACAGGTGTGCCTCGCATTGTCGAGAATAAAAGTTTATTTATTTATTTATTTATATGGCAGCTGGGTGGTTCGGGATTATCCCATCCAAGCGAATGGTTCGGCGGCAGTGTTCCAGGACGTGGTGAGTTTTCGCCTGGCAAGCGTTCTCCCTATAAAAAGCCACATATGTCCGTTTGACAGCACTGTGAGGAGGCGGATGTGACTCGCCACTAAATAAAGTCACTGACCCTTGACTCTCTCTGAGCAGCATTGTAACTCAACTGTGCGTTGGGCCCCTGGTCCTATGCGGTCCAAAGGCGTGCGAACCATTTGTTTGGTCACCGGATCCCAAAGGGTTCCGATTCTGGATCAAAGGCACGGGGTGGGGGCCGCGAAGACAAACCTCCACTTCGGGCCTGGGCAACCGGGTAGTATCTCGCCCACTGAGGAACCATGAATGGATCACCCTCAACATACTCCCAATAAAATAAACAAAAAACTCAAAAACTGTGAGTGGAAAAGGGGGCCAAAAATTTGTTTGTTTCCTTTCTTCATTTTCCTATTCCGTCATGGTTTCGATGACACAATATCTGTACACAGATTGTGATATATATATATATATATATATATATATATATATATATATATATATATATATATATATATATATTCGGCAGAGCAATGCACGCCTGCGTAGGCATAATCACATTACTAGAAAAACGAATAATCGATAATTGTACAAAGGTGAAGTAAAATTGCCAGTAACATACAGGATCTATAAGCGTACGTACATATGAAGGTGGGTAAGTATGGAGAACCTATGGTAGGCTGAGGCTGGTGGTTGCTAGATCCTGACACATGGTCTATCCACTGCTGCTGCTGTAGTGTCCGGCATTCACGTCCTGGACGCCTCCTGTGGCGAGCGCTGGGTGGGGGTTGGGTTACGCCCTTCTCCCTGCCAAGAGGCAGGACACCAATCTATAAGAGTTAGTGGATAAACCATGTGTTAGACCCGCTGCCGTTCTGGCGTACATTTAATCGAAGGCTTTGGCTGAGGACCCAAGTCGATCTCCTGTCAGGAGTGGGCGCCCTGCCAGTATCCAAGTCCATCCTCTTCGGAGTTTAGGAAGTGTTCGATGGCTCTCTTGCAGTAAAACCTAGCCATGGAAAACAACAGGTCTACGAGTTATACGCTCAAGGCTAGATTGGACTAGGACACGAACGCCACACATTGTTTCTGACGTTGGGAGGGAACCTACGGGTGTTCAATAGTTCGCTACAACCCGCCTTAAGTCAAGCAGCCCCTGGTCAAATTAGTGCAAACCCGCCAAAACCCACCAGCGTATGGCCATGGTGCGTATCTTACTACGGTCGTAAAACATATATGAATTGCGTGTGACGGACCTCAAGCAGATCCCGATTTGTCTCAGCAATCACATTCGTGAACTGGATCTGCTCCCCACTGCCTTGTGGCTAAGGTTATTGAGCCAAACGCTCCGGGTGGAGTGCCACAAGCAAACCACAAGATCACCCACTACTGTGTGGGTAAGGCTATCGAGTCCTTTGGAAGCACAACCACAACTAAGAGGGCGATCGCCTAACAATGCGATCGTATCGTTGCGCGCAAAGCAATCAGCATCGCGTAGTGGAAGGTGCGCACACTAGTGGACCGAAATTCCAGTGAGCGTCCCGAGCGACGCACTGCATTGGTTGTGATGGAAATGGCGCGCTACAACATCGACATTGCGGCCCTCAGCGAGACCCCGCTAGCTCAGCATGGAAGGTTGCAAGAAGCCCGTTCCGGCAATACGTTCCACTGAGGAGGAAACGCCAACACAGCACCACGTGAACATGGGTTCGGATTTGCACCATCCGATCACTTAAATAGTCAGCTGGTGGGGGGGGGGACCAACAGGCATCGGTGTGCAACTGATGAATGTTCGCCTACGACTCGACAGAGATAAGTTCACCAATTTTAGTAGCAACCACGGTCCGACCATGTGTTATACCGTTAACACACGTGATCAGGTGACAGCTGCTGCCGAGCAGACCATCGGGCGCCCAAACTGTAAGCGGCCTGATTGGTTTGATGTGAACAATGCGACGAATGGCCCATTGGTGTCGGAGAAGAATGCAGCATTTGCTGCACATGTGCCAGACCTCAGTGACTTGGCGAAGAATAGTCAGTTTCGCAAACTTCGACAGCGACTGACCCGAGAGCTCCGTCGCATTAAAAATGCATGGTGGACGGAGAAGGCGAAGCAGATGGAATTCTACGTCGAACGCCGCCAACACAAGAAATTCTTTGACTCATTGAAGGCGGCGTATGGACCGAGATTGGAGCCGCTGAGGACGCTAATCGATGGTAGCTCAGGCGCTACCTGCACATAGACTACAGATATCATGCAGATCTGGTGGAAACACTTTGACTGCCTCTTGAACAACCATTCAGGGATCGACTGGCCTACACTGAACGGCATGAAGCAGCACGACGTGAAGATAAGTCTGACGGACACGCCGACCCTGGATGAGACGCAAAAAGCGCTTGCTCAGCTGTGAAACGGCAAGTGTGCCGGTGCTGACAGGGATCCCGC